ATTTGCTATTTTATTAATTTAATAAACATTTTTGATTTTTACTTATTTAATTATAGCATCTAGATATGTTTCCCAAGTATTTGTTTCATGGTTCCATTTCCTTCTTAATGAGCTTTCTGGACACATCCTTATAACAATGGGAAAAGACTGAGGAATTTTATAGTACTTTGGTTGGAAAGATATATGCAGCCTGGCTCATTTCCAAACAAGTGCATTTTTGAGATTTCAGTAAGACATTTTCTTTGGATCAAGCTTTGTGAGATCAAGGGCCGCTAATGCTTAAATAAATTTTCTGTAAAATTATGCTACTTGTGAGTTACTGAGAATTGTTTAATTTCCTTTTTTTATTTTTTAAAAATTTCTTGTTATCCTTATTTTTTCTAGGCTAGAGAATTACAAGCTCGGGTACTAAAACGTGTTCAGATGGAACAGCCAGATGCAGTTCCTGCACAGAAACATTTAGCTGCTGAAATTTGTGCAGAGATTGCAAAACATTCTGTTGCTCAGCGAGACTATGAAACAGCAATTAAGTTTTATAGAGAAGCTCTGGTTCACTGTGAAACGGATAATAAGGTCAGTACTTTTATAAAATGTTAAGCACCTTTTATTTCAGATGTCATCTGATTTCCCCAAATGTAAAATTCTTAACAGCTTATTTATAAAGAAGATTTCAAAAGAAATGTAACAAAAATAGAAGTTTAAAAAACTAGTATTTTTAGAAAACTTACAAAATTCATGATGCCTTATGTTAAGAATATTAGTCTAAAAATCATAGTGGAATAGGTAATATAAAGCAAACCTGCAAATTCCTTCTTTTGAATATCCATCTTTGTTTTAATAATCATTTTGAAACAATTTCTCAATCACAAATGTCTGGATTTAGACAATTCAGTTCAATTTACTAAACAGCTAATTGTACACTTCTGTATTTCAATTGGTGTTTGGTACAAGAGACTTCAGTACTATAAAAATAGTGTTTAATATTCCAACTGGATGCAGAAGTAGCTAGACTGAATCTATGTCCTTGTGGCACAGTGTGAGAGCAAATATAAAGATACTTTAGATGTAGTACGCTTACATACCTGGCTGGTTATGTAAACTAAAATGTTATTATTCTGTCAAGATCTCAGAAGACCTATAAGATGATTAATTTTTTAAATGCTCTAATAAATGGCTAAACACTCAATAAATGATGAAGAACAAAAGATAACTGTATTCTAGAATTTAAAGATTAAGATTGAGTATTTTTATTAATGTAATTTTTTAGATGAAGGGCAAAAACAACCTTTAGTAAATCATAACCAAACAGGTACCTTTGTCAGTGGTGGCTAACGGAGTAATTCTAGTTTTAAATCTGAAGGATGACTTAGAGATTGTCCGCTTGAAGCTTTTTATTTTACAAATGAGAAAGCAAATTTAGAGAGGTAAAAGGGGCTTGACTTGGCCCTCATTGTGGAGAAGCTGGGACTAGAATGTAATCTCCTGCTTTTAAGACCAGAGTTCTTTTCACAA